GAAGAAGAAGAAGAAGAAGAAGAAGAAGAAGAAGAAGAAGAAGAAGAAGAAGACTCACTGTGGTGGAATCAGCTCCCTGTGTGCAATGAACTAGCCAGCTCATCTAGATGGCGTCCATTTATATAGGACGGTGAGGGGACCCCCGGAGTCAAGGGCTTTACACAGGTCGTGATGCTGAAATTAAGGACAGCGACTACTGACGTCATTGTTACTCTATCTTTTGTTGTTAGAGTTGAACTATGTTTAACCCTATCCGTACGTCGTGTTTTACTATCGTATCCATACGACGTGGCGAACTCTGTGCCACCACTTTCCAAAGAGGAATTTTACTCGTTAATCCGATCCGTACGCTTTGCATATCAGTCTGTCAAAACGATTTTTTAAAAGAAATACTGAAAGTTTCAAAGAGATCATCGTACTATAAGCAAAGGTAGTACATAACAAGATAGTCCACTCAGCCAAAATAGTGTCCGCTGGAAGTCCGCTCTTTGCTTCAGATGGCGCTGCAGTCTGTTTTGAAACTCTCTTTCGTTTCTTCAGAAGAAGAATAGGAATAGTACCTCCTTGCGTGCGCAAATCGACTGCTGTTCATCAGTTGTTCGGGTTCGTTCAGTGCGGAGTTTTAGGGTGTTTTTTTTTTGGGGGGGGGGGGGGGGATTTTAATTACCTCTCGCCTTTCATTCTAAAGTCAGATTAAACGAAGAAAACAGTCACCCTTTCCTCCGGAAGAGATTTTTTTTGTCAGCGTAGCCTTTTTAAAAAAGCGTTCTTTCGAAATTTGAATTCTTATTTATTCAAAAACTTGTTAGTTTCACTTTGATTTTTTCAACACAAGTAGGGTAACTCTGTTCGCAAAGGGTGCGCATTTGCGAAGAGGGCGTCACCGAATTTTGAGGACACTTTTTTAATTGGCTCAAAGAGAGGAGTTAGCCCCTCTTGTTATGTAGACTCTTTGCTATAAGTATTCTAAAAAATGAAGAATACAACCTCCGGGGTACAAAATGTCCCCAGGGCGCACGGATAGGGTTAATCGTTTACAGTATCAATACAGCTTGACCAGATTCGTTACATTTCGTCTCGATTAAAAAAACAACAACCAAAACTCTGTTAAATCACCCTAAGCTTAAAGCTCCCCCCCCCCCCCGGCCCCCAACCAGTTCTTTCTGCTAATTCCAAACACAAGATTTCCATGCAAAAAAAAATAAAATATATGTATATGTATATATGTAACCCCACCATTTTCCCGTACTTTGTATACAATTGTTGTTATCCGCTGTTGAACTGTTTTAAATCTCAAAGTATCCAGCTGCTGAAACTTTGTTTTTCCTTTGGAGGTTTCTCAAAGTGAGAAGCACCTTGCTGCACCTAGGCTAACTATTGGAAAGTTTGATAGAAATCAACTACTGACATACAATGGCGAAAGCTGCCTTGTTTGACGAGGTAAAGAGAGTGAGACTAAGAACAAAGTAGAGATTACCCCTCACGTGAACTTTCCTCCTATAGGCAAACAATAATTAACAATGATAGCCTATTTCTTATACATCGAGGCGGTATCATTGAATTGTGAATGAAAGCAAATTCCCAACTCCTACACCAGCCAAAAAAATGTCGAAAATATCCCATTTAATCTTTTTTTCCACTGTAGGGAAATTGCAATAACTATTAAACTTCCCGCCCTAAGTATAATGGTCACAAGATTTTTAATTAGTAAATCTAACGGAAACTATGAATAGACAAGCCGATGGCTAACATCGCACTAACATATTTTGAATATGCGGGCTAACCCAGATTTCGGGGGTTTCCAGAAATCTTGACCTACACCAAGAGTGGGCATTGCCCTACCTATACGAGAAGCATGGTTTCTCCAGACAAATAACTTCAAATCTTCCCCGTCATATTCATTGCCCGCCCCTAAGCCTCTCCTATCTCGCCACCACCACCCCCCTACTGTCCCTCTCGCTCTTTCTCACTCTCTCTTTCTCTCTCTCTCTCTTTCTCTCTCTCTCTCTCTCTCTCTCTCTCT